ATATTTTACTAATATTTTTCATCGTCCAAAATCTACACTACATATGTGTATTTAAAGATTATACTCGTATATTTGTAGTTTTAATATTTGTATTGTATGCTTTATATATCAAAGCTTTGGTAATTATTTATTAAACAATTATTTTAAATCACCTAAAATAGTATCATCTATGGAAGGATCGGCTTTTATCTTCTGTGCCATGGGAAATAGTTCACGGTATACACATCGTCCTGTAAATAGAAAATGTATTTTTAATTACATCGTCCTACGTCTGAAGAGATCAAACAAGATTAATTATATCTGCTTTAATACGAAACACGCCGTTTTCTATTATTTTAGTACATATATACTCAGGAACCACATCAAATGTAAATTATATTTTTTATTTCTCATACATGTAAGGAATATGTAACAGCACGTTTTTTTAGTCATTTTTTATATATAATAGTTAGAAATGTATGTATTGTTTTATAATTTTCATTTTTCGGAACATGGTTCATCAATTCAACCAATCGAATAAGTATTTTATGTGGTTCATCAAAGTTTTAAATAAAATAAAATAAACTAATTGAAATAAACCATTCCAAAAATGTCTAAATGACAATTGGTAATTTGTCTAGTTTGCAACAATTATTAAGTATGTGCAGAATATACTCGTTTTGTTTGTCGTTCAAATTAATTATCAATTTGTACAGATCCTCTTGCAAAATTCTGTTTGGGCATGTGCATCTACTTTTAATAATAAGCGATTATTAGTATTATTTGGTAGATGCAATCATCGCTTATTATTGAAATATAAATATAAATATAAAAATATAAATATAAATATAAATATAAATATAAATATGAATATGAATATAAATATAAATATAATATAAATAGAAATATAAATATAAAATAAATAGAAATATAAAATAAATATAAATATAAATATAAATATAAATAGAATATCAATATAAATATAAATATAGATATAAATATAAATATAGATAAAAATATAAATATAAATATAAATTAAAATTAAAATATAAATATAAATATAATATAAATATAAATATAAATATAAATATAATAGAAATATAAATAAAATATAAATATAAATATAAATATAAATATAAATATAAATATAAATATAAATATAAATAAATGTAAATGTAAATGTAAATGTAAATGTAAATGTAAATGTAAATGTAAATGTAAATGTAAATGTAAATGTAAATGTAAATGTAAATGTAAATGTAAATGTAAATGTAAATGTAAATGTAAATATAAATATAAATATATGTCCTGATTGGCTTCAATGATGTTCATGAAACAGTTGTATTGTAATAGAAAATTAACATTTTTGCCATTTATCTGTTCATTCCTCCATAATTTTAATAATTTTTTTTCTCAATGTGATAATTTGCAATATCATTAATTAAACATGTTTGATTATAGCAGCTGACTTGCTGCCTTGTGTTTTTACATTTTGTTTCTCGCTGCTTTTGTCCTAATCAAAAGCTTTTTGCAATGTGCGTACTTAGTAGTTTGTTGAAATATCTGTTAAACATATATATTCGAGGTGGTTTAGCCTTTTGGTGTATCTATTAAATATATCCTTTATGAAAATCTCTTTTGAATCTTTTCAACTTTTCTAAACAGTTATTTTATTATTGTTTTATAGCATATGAACACGCTTATTTGAAAGGGTAGTGTTCATAAATATTGTTTTTCTGCTTTGTTTTGACATTGATAGAGAAAATACATGAAAGGCCGCTTTCACATAAAGTTGTGATTTGAGAATAAATTTGTAATTTTACAGAATTTATCGTTCACAATTTCACAAATAAATGTAAAGTATCCGTTTGTACTGGAGCGTTTCAAAAATATACTGCGCGTACTGCGTATAGCTAATACGTATTTGGCCTCAGAGATATCCAATTTTTGCAAAACAATTTCAAAGCTTACAAATGTTCGTTTCTTATAGAAAGTAATCATCAATTTTTCAATTTCTTTGTAAGGTATTTTGAATGTTTCACCTTCTTGCAGTGGCTCCAATATCATAGTGCTCCTCATTACAGGATGCGGTATGTTGAATCTGCATTTTTTTGTTTTTCTTCCTTTATAGCATGCATGACCATGTCTATGTGTTTGCAATTTAGGTCTTCAGGATCATATTCACATATTAGGAATTTGTCAATAAATTCTATGAAATTGTGATTTTAATTA